TGTTTCATATATTGTGTTAGCTAGCTAATTAATAGAGAGAAGTGTCCTCTCTTATGTCCTTGCTTGGACGACGCTATATATACGTATATATAGAGAGGACTAGACACGCTAGCTAGTAAGCAAATAAAGGAAACAGAAGATCGTCATGAACATATGCATACAGAGAGAAGTGATATCGACCACCTCTCCTTCTCCGAGAGATTGGTCGAACAACAAGTTCTCGTATATCTATTCGACACTACTGGCTACATATGTACAATAATTATCTCTTACAATATAATCTCCTAATTATATATGAACACAGGGTCCACATAGTATTCTCCATCTTCAGCGATCACGTGGTCAAGGAAGAATGTCGCCAATTCCTCTCGAATTGCTCGCATACGATCTGGTGCTAGGAGTTCATCCCGCATGCGAAACATCTAATTTGAACAAGGGGGTCAATATATATATATGAATAAATGAAACTCAACACAAATGATGGTAATAAAATAAAATTGTGAATATTATTGCTTACGCACTTCATATTGTTTGTCAGAGTACCCTCGTTCACAGGTCGTGTGGCGGATGGACTCGCAAACGTAGTATCCACAGCAATCATTTCCTTGTTCCTGCCACAAGCACTTTACAAGAAATAGAGGTCAATCAAACTGATAAGCAAGCATGCCAAATGATATTGATGAAACTAGCGCTTGAATCACTAGGAGATGCGCGGAACATGTTACTATAGTACTTACTTTCGGGTGTCTAAATTGCAGCTTCTTCAACAGTCCCGGAGCTTTTTTTGTGAATTTTCTTCAAACCCTGCCAGACAAAGAAAATAATTACTTGATATATCAGGAAATGAACAAAGTTGTTGATATGGTGGATAATGATCGATTTAACTTACTCCTCGAGCATTTGAGTCATGTCCGCATATTCCTGGGATCTTTTCGTCTCGAGTTTAAGACGGTTACTAGTCCCTGCTCAAGCTTAATCTCTAGGAGAATATAGTGGAACCTGCGCACGCATGCATAACTCATCAATTACATTACTATAACCTGGACTAATAAGGGAAACCGAATATGCACAAGACAGTAACACTCACTTGAAGTTGTAAGGAAAGAGTATTATATCTTTATTTTCATTTATTATCAACGATCGTAGCAAGTTGGCCTCGGTATCTTCGGCACGATATTTAACCTCAGTTGCATCTATGAGATTTGTGTTAATGAACCCAATATCACCGATTTGTCTTTTCTTTAATTCGGCGATCTTCAATCTGCATAATATAGTGAGGATAACTATAAGAAAGAATTTCTTATTTAACACTATCTTAAATTTCGTTTCCTTATTTGACACTGAAAACTTTTTCTTCTCTATTTAACAGCGAGTCTAAATTTTATGCCTTTTATGACACTTTTGTCCATTTTAAGTCTAAATAAGACCGGAAAAAACTCTTTTGTCCTTCATGTGATATGTGTGTGCGTGGGGCAGTAGCACACACGCAACATCAGTGCGAGGGAGTAGCACACACATAGCAACACACACGCACGTGCACGCACACAACAACACACACGCACGCAGGGGCGAAGCCAGCAATGTGGCAAGATTTGGTGCCCGCCATACCTAATATTTGGTGCACATACTTAGTTGTATGATATACTAGCTAGCATACTCCTGTATAGTACGTGTTTGGTTTTAGCTTAGCCGTGCGTCCGTGCCGGCCCTGCTGGTCTGATTGCTGATAGATAATGGATAATGGCTAATGGGCCGTGCTCCTTGATCAGCATGTGCCTTCAGTGCACTCCACACGTTTCCCCTTTAAAAAGAGTACACGCAGTTTGATCGTATTTGTTGAACACAAAGTTATATGTACTATTCTAGCGAGCTCTTGCACAGTTATATTATATATGATTTTGCCCTTCATAAACTCTGCCACACATGAAAAATATTTCTGTCCTCGTCACTGCACGCTCGTATCACACACACACACGCACGCAGCACGGATGCACACAACACATATGCACGCAACAGCATGCGTGTGCGCACACACACATGCACGTACACACCCACTAGCAAACACACACGTACACAAGCAGTAGCAAACACACACGCACACACACAGACACTCAGCAGTAGCACGCACGTACGCGCGCGCACACGCAACAGCACACACACGCGCACACAAACATACCACTTGAGGGCAAAGGGGTCTTTTCAGGTGTCATTTTGGCTCAAAAAGAAACGAAGTGTTATAAAAGGCATAAAATTTAGACTAGTTGTTAGATAGGGAAGAAATTATTTCTGGATGTCAAATAGGGCATAAAATTTAGGCACGATGTTAAATAAGGAATTCTCTCTAACTATAAATACATGCAATGAAAGAGCTGACCTATATAGAGAGACTTAATGACAGAAATAGTACTACTTATAGACAGTAGCAAGTGACCGTTGCTTTATCGAGGGCCTTTTGATTGAAAAACTGGAAGAACTCCTCAAATGGAACATTCAACAGTTCAATTCCAACGAGGTCATGCTCCTCTCTAACTCTCAGTGTCAAAGTATTCCTGCCCCCAGACTCTCTGCAGGTTTTCATGTACCAATCATGGAATCTTCACATCATCATTGTTAGAGATCTTTCATCTTTGACGAGAGGCTTCCCGTACTCGTATTTGTGTTCCTCCACATCCAAGAACTCATAATGTACATTGTTGGGCAGGTAATCTCCAAGATTGCTATAACCGGGCACCATCCTTGGATCATTAGTAGGCACCTTGAGCAGGGGGCACAATTGGTTCGCTTGTTCGCCGAGCTGGGGAATTTTTCTCCCAGCTCGTCGTTCTTTTAACCTTTGATCACTGACAGTACTTCCCGACCGCTCCGCTTCGACAAATGACTTTGCAATAATGCGGTCATAGTTGCCTTTCGGCGGAGACTTTGTTGGTTTTTCAGGGCAGCCAGAGTGCGCTTCGCTTTCAACGGATCTACCTTGTCCTCCGGACGGGGATTTTTCTTTGCTTTCACCCCTTCAAAGAAGTTCCTCACTTCAGCTCGCGCGATCTTGGCGTTCTCCTCCGGGGTCCTCTCGTATGGTAACTTCTCTGGAGTCTTCAGAGAAAGACCG